ATTTAAAGTATACGCTTTCAAATGTGAAACGAGTGGATTCGTCTCGGTCGAAAATAATATTATGGGATGTAAAAGGTATCTGTGGCTGCTACATTCCGAGGGGTCGTTTTGGCCGTAGAATTTCGCACATGCAAGAGTATTATTGAGGGACATTAAAAACGATATTATATTTCCATATAACATAATGACGAAACAACGGATAATGCGAATGGCGTTTATTAAAATCGTTTTTCATCTWRTATTAATGTATGCTTACATTGCTTACCACCAGGATAGTAAAGTAGATACTGATATAATGCACGTGTCCGAATGCTGGCTTCAGGCTAGCTGTAGTGGTATATAATATACACATTATATTTGTATATTATTTCCTAAAGTGATCAATTTTTTAATTTAAAAAATAAGAAAAGGAGAATATAAATTGTTTTAATAATATTTTAACCAATATAGTATATAAACATTATATTAAAAAAAACATTTTCTCTTCTACTAACTTATTAATAAATCAGAAAATTATACCCACTTACTATCATATTGATTATTGCCTTTTATTTTAATTTATTTTTATTGGGGGTTGAGCGAGGGCAATTAGCCTGTGGAACTGTCGGGGAGGGAATTGTTAGTTTTGSTACTCGTGAATGTTTTGGCAGAATTTCGAATGGGAATTGGGTACCCGTAGGTTTCTGTCWTGCCCGAGTGAGAGGCATTAATTTGGAACRATATTTAAATAATTAACCATGTCGCAATAACTTGCACGTTTTTTCTCCACGTTAAAATCAAATCGTATGTGTAAAACTTTAACTTAACTTGCAGTAATAATTGAATGATACACAACGTGAATCTAAAGTATAATGTGTGWTTSAAACCCTCAAGGCATCAAAGTTTAAATATATAGGTAAATACGTAATGTACATACATATATATACACACGCGGTTATTTGAAATTTGAAAAAGTTTGTCAGTATTCATTARTCGTTGCATATTATGTAGGTATACCAAAGAGTATTATTTTCAACTCTATAGATATTGTATTTGATTGTGTTTTACAGATTAAGATAAATTAAATTTGATATTATATTTTTTTTCACCTGAAATAAACGACGATCGTTTGAATAACGTTTTTTTTATTTATTGATATATACACAATCTATATACATAATATACTTATATATCATAATATATATCATAATCAGCACAATAAGAGTATGAGCTAAGAGTTGGAAGAATGAAATGTTGAATGAAGAAGCCACCCACTGATGACACTTACGTTTTTTAATTAATTTGGTTTAACCTCATTCTTAACCTTTTAGGGATTTAGTAGTACGTCTCTGCACCATTTGTGCATAAGGCGACGATCAGGGTTACCAGTGATGTTTTATGAAGCTAGATTTTTTATAAGTTTGTTTGGATGAGAGTTAGTTAGCGTATGTAGAAACGTTTATAATAATTTATTACCTATTCCTGAATTGTTTTCATATGAAGGTCTTTATGCAGGGAGTGATTTGATACATATGGCGGAGAATTGGTAATTTTTCTTAATATTATTTGAATAACGTAGAGACCAAAAAGGAAAAGTACCTACCTACGACTATAGCGGGAATGCGTTATGCCTATCACGACATTATAGGATTAATATGAGGTTTTCGGTCGCGTCGGACACCACACGTTTGCTGACGTCTGATAAAATGCATCCTTGTGATATATTATATACCTAAGGAATGACATATATAAAATGTWGTCAGCAAAACGTGTCGAAAAACCTGAAAACAGTTTACGCAGCTTGTGTGGGGCATAAAGACATGCATATGTATATAAATTTATAAATAATATGCTCACACACATTATTATTACTATTATTGTCATTATCGTCATTCGTCGTTGCGGTGGTAAAATTTCGACGAGAATCGGACGTTTCGACGATGACTTCATTATGTCGGCGTGGCCGAAGGGGTGTGATCGCAAAAGGGTTTATTATTATAGGCGGAGGCGCGGTGGCGGCGGACCGCGTTTGGCGGCAAAAACTTCTGGCGGCGGCGGCGGCGGAGCAACAACCCTCGTCGGTGCGCAGCCGATACACGCCGCGCCGGSCAAGACACGCGACCGTCACATTGTGGCGTCAGTTCTCGCATGTTTCGCTAAGGGTGCAGACCTGCTGAATCGTCATGTACACAGGTCCCGGGCATGTGCTCGTCGCGATCGCGATTGCACTCGTCGCTTCAGCCGTGTCGCCGTCATGCGGGGAGCTTATTATSGGTAAGACGTTTATCATTTAYTATTATTATAATTATTGTTATCATTTTAATTACACACTGTAAATGTAAAACCGTTTATAGTATAATACGATACAAATCGTTTCACTACAGACGGTTTATTACATAAACTCATATGCTTTGTTGCACTCCATTCGTAAAACGAGAAAATTCAAAAAGCTTTTTTCAATATTTAACTTAATTTTGTTGTCCTTAACCGTTATAATTAATATCTGTATCAAAAATAATACTAATATTTATATGAATAGCAAAATATTTACAACCAGCAWATCACGTGTAGGTATATTAGATGTTAATAATAATAATTAATTAATATAAGCTTGAAATCGCAATAGTATATTTTATTATTATTGCACGATCGTAATATGATACATATGTGACCTGAATAYAATTTATAATATTCAAGTGATAAAATTATATTTTTAGTGTTATCATAGTTTTGATAAATTTTTGAAAGTTGAAAATCACGGAAACATTTAAATAGGAAATTACAGTTCAACTGGTTTTCTAAAATTTATTAATTTTGTAAGAGTATAATCGATCATTTTATTTTATTAAACTTAATGTAGGAAGTTATATAATCTGCAATTGATTGTTGTACAGATCAAATTCATGAATGAGGTGTAACAGTAACAAAACTTAGTTTTTTATTAAAACCATTGTATCTGCTCAGGATTATGAGTTTCTTCAATATAATACTATTTTAATTAGTTAAAAAAAATTATGCATAAATATATACCATGTGATTTGGAAGTAGCAAAACAGTTCATATCTCGCAAAAATACGTTATAACTTGTTACCCAACGCGCGTTTTGGTAACGTCCATAAATTATAGTCTAATTTAACGTTAGAGTCAAACTATATTTATACAAATAATAAGATTAAGTCTAAGTCTACAATAATATTTCTTAAAAATTCTAAAATAATTTAACACTTTTTTACGATGTGKTGCTATACAACTAATATTTTCCTGGTACAAGATAATTRTATTTATAAATAAATAAATAATTAAAACAAAAAGTGTTTTATATTTAGTGAAGTATAAATTATTCATTGTTTTCTTTGTCTTACTCACAGACTCAAATAACGTATTATTTAGACTAAACATTTTTTTTATAGTATAAAATAACTTACAACAAATGAAAAGATTGAATGATAGAAATGTGGTTGAAAAAAAACAATAAGAATGAACTATAAAGAGTATTTATTTAACATAAGAAAACAATTTTAAATATAATTCAAAACAAGAATAGGTATGCTTTTTATAAACTGCAGCATATTATAATGAATTTTTAATATTTTTAAAATCTTTTTTATAATCATGATCTAGGTATCACTTGAAAATTAGTTGTTACCATTCGTGTTGCTAAAACACCTACATCAGTGGTATGCCAACGTGTGGCTTACCCAGATCAGTGGATCTGTAGGTTCTTTAGTGTCTACTGTCAACCTTTTTCCTAGTCGTCAGGTGACAATTAATGTTTTAATTGAAAAACGAAATCATGGTTAGTTTCATGATATTATATACGTATAGAATTTTATAAAAAACTGAACCATTTGAAAAATATTGAATGCAATAAGGAAATCGCTGTTATTTAAATACCAAATATTTTAAAKTAGGTACAGAATATGAATATATTTTTCTTTTTTTTAACGATTTTAAAAATAAGAATAAATTGTTTTCGTTATAAAATGGAGAAGTAATTGGTTTTACAACCTTGTTATTTTGTTTTTTAGGAAATAGCAAATGTTTCCAATATTGTTTTCCATTGAAATCGAAATGTAAACCGTACCGTATAGATTGTTATTATTTTAAGAAAGCCGTAATTATTTTAAATTTTTTTGTAAAATAACTGAACACTGCTAACATTGTATGACGTAGTTATCCTTGTACAGTGTTAATAATATATAATATAGTTATATGTACATTATTGGTACATAATAAACGATTGTTGTGTTATACTACTAATACAATAATGGTAGGTATCAGTAATGTATGAGTTAGTTCTATTATTACATACTACTATGACTAATGTAATATTGAGATCAATTGTATAGGTTAGGTTAAGATCTAAGAAGTTGGTAATATTATTTGTACCTATTTAGTTTACATTTTATATTTATTTTTAATTAATAATAGGTCGTCGGCGTACTTAGTTTGGATGTTTAAATTAATATTGCTTAGACGTTTAATTATATCTGTAGTCATGTTTTATTTGGGAYCATTTGAGGCTTATTTTGTGTTATTAAACAAAAACTAATGCTTGTTATATTGAAAAATATACATTTTCTTTAAACTTTCGTGGAATTTGTATCGGTATGTATAAGGTCAATATGTTGAATTTAGAACCGTTGGCGCACGCAGGAGATTTTTTCACCGAGGGTTTACAGTAAAAATATGATTCCCYATTTAGTTKTTTCAYGCATATTTTTATTACTTGTCCACCTTTTATAATATATATTACTTAGAATAGTAAGCTGTTGGTAAATATTATGGATGTTTCTCATTCGTTAATATACTAGCCAACTCAAAAAATTAAATAAGTACATTCTAAACAGTTATTATTTGTCACAGGAAGTTTTGATGGCTAACAGGGTATAAACGACGAATTAACCAACAATTTTGAATTATATAGAGCGAGTATTTTTAACGGACAACGAAGTGCACGGGGATCAGCTACTTTAAAATAATTTATACTGATTTAGATACTTATTAATGTTCAAGAAATATTTATGGAGAATTTAAATGTATAATATGATCGCTGTTATCATAAAAAATATTCAATGCAATCAAAATGTAAATAATTGTTACAGCAACAAACCTAAGAAAATAGCCCTTGCAGAATACGTCAATAATATATAACTGGTCAAGTTGGTTATAGTTATTGGGCTAATTTAATATTTCACTCAATTTGTGTACCGAAAGTAATTCATAGTTTGGTTATGGTTTTGTTTAATAATAACTAAAAATAAATATTAATATACWTAATGTCCTTAATCGTTATGTATAGAACTCGATGATGATATGCTTTGGGAATAATATTTACAATCTATATATTAAATTTATTGTATGGAAAAATAATTCAAAATTTTAAAGATTGCTTCATTGTTCTTTTCATTGACGCCTTGGTTATAATAATGTTAATTATTATGATTAATTTTGAATTTATTATACATAAATAAATACAAAACCTGAAACTATAGAAGTCCCTCTGCTGTATGGTAGGTCTTTTTTAGTGCACGTCGTTAAACAGTGGGTCATTTATAGGATGTGTTAAATTATATTCATTCAAATTGTATACGAAACATGTTTTTGAGTACCTACAGGAGACAATATAATTGATTTATATAATTATTAGTTATACGGTTAGATGGCTAAATGTCAATACGTTGTATAATTTCATATTTGTATTGAACTAATTTTTAACATAAGCATTGAATATATATATATATCACTACTATATATTTTTCAACTTATAACTTATGATTCTCGTACCGTAGAATGACGTGAATAGAGGTGCGTGGTTAAATAAATACTTGATAAATACGTAGCTTTAAATTAATCTAAATGTTTTGAATATTTAATTGCGTAGGTATTTGTTTATTTAAAATAATAATTATAGTAAAAGCGAAAAAATCAAATCCTTGTGATTAATATTTTTTAATTTTATCAGAATACCTAAAATCAATATATTTTTTTTTAATATCCAATTTCATCAAATATTAAACTTAAAACATTATTATATAAAAAAGTTAGTGTTTATGGTTGAAATTTAAAATGAAATAATCTAAGACCCATGTATGAGGAACCTTTCATTACACATTTAGTCTTGGATACTCAAATTTTAATGTTGGTTAATTTTTAACTACAAAATAGTTTGCAATTTTTCTAAAGAATTGAGATATTTTGGTTTTGATTAGCACTGAGATGTGGGTGTTTACCTCTTTTTCGTGTATTTAACACTTTTTAATGATCTAAATTAGGTACTTGAAATATTCACCCATAATTTATCTTTTAACTTTATGAATTGTATAATATAGTTTTTAAATGTTTTGATAGTTTATTGGCTTCATAGGTTTAGAACTTGAACATTTAACGTTTTTAATACTTTTTACATATATCATGAAAACGTTTACGGTTTAGTTTTTGTATTCATTWTATAATTTAGTAGTGATTGGCATATAGGTATATATGTATTAATAGTTTATACATAAAATACACTTAATACTGATGGATTATATTTTTCAATTGAAATAATTGCTTTAAACAATAACTTACTTCATTAATGATTTATTCAAAGTCAATAATTGTCATCAAAAGTTCATAATAATAACAAATGATAGTCAAAGTATTTGATATTTATTATAATCTATAATAAATTAATTATAGGTAACAGATTATGTCTTGAAAAATGTTTCAGCATATCAATAAAATTTTTCAATTTATGTATATTATATGTATTCGTATATCGCATATAATATATTTAAATAATACATATAAATAAAATTCGATCAAAACTTTAAGTTATAGATGAAATTTTGTCGATCTCAAATAAATTAATCAATAATATTAATGGGTTCTCTTTAATTTTCTTGAAAATGCAATTATAGTACAACATTTCTGATTTTAAATTTGTGTTCAACTTTTGATAGCAGTTTATAAAAGCTTCACTATCAAATACYTACTAAATGTTTTAGGGCATTTTAACGGTTTTAAACATTTTTTCAAATATTTTATAATGTCYTTTTCCAATATCAAAAAAATAAGTACAATTTAAGTAATACATAGTTTCTTTTTAACCAAAAATATTTAAATTTCTTGTTTACATAATATTTCAAAAGAGACAATTTACAAAAGCAATAAGAAAGAAAACTAATCAAACTTTTTTCATCGTAAATTTCATCGGCTTTCATTCTGTAATAGTAGCTTTCAAGTTCTGCAGGTCCTTGATATTTCTTCAATCAATTAGTTKCGATGTCTCT